ATATTCTTGATACATTAAAGAAGGATGACGAAATAATTCTTTTAGGAGACATGAATATTTGTCTTCTTCGCAAATCGCCACTGGCTAAAAAATATATTGACTTGTTGAGTCTTCATGGGTTTAGTCAACTCATTAAAGAGGCAACACGCGTTACACCTACATGTTCTTCTCTATTGGATCATGTTGGTTGTACCAAAGAAAATAAAATAAGTCAAAGTGGTGTCATTGATCTAGGTATTAGCGACCATTATTTTACTTTCTGTACACGGAAAAATGTTAGACTGGCTATAGGTCATCACAGGACTAATGATATCAGATCCATGAAAAAATATACAGAAGAGTCTTTCAATCTTCAACTATCTGTTGTTGATTGGTCACGAATAACTGACTGTACAGATGTAAATGAGGCATGGTCAATATTTCAACATGTTTTTATCTCAAATTTGAATATGATAGCGCCACTGAAACGGATAAGAATAAAACAAAGATCAGAAACTTGGGTGACTAAAGATATTCTTTCCCTAATTCAAGAGAGAAATATAGTATACAAAAAATGGAGGAAAAGAGCAAAAGATGAGAAGCTCTATAAAAGATACAGAGTATTAAGAAATATGGTCCAAAGAGAGGTGAAAAAGGCTAAACTCGATTACTTACAAAACAAGATAGAAGAAAATAAACAAGATTCGAAAAAACTTTGGCAGAATCTAAAAAGCTTAGGATTGAAAAATAAGAAGCGAAAAGAACAAGAATCTGTCATTAAAATTGATGGGGAATTATGTCATGATAAGATGGCCATCGCTGATGAATTCAATTCTCATTTCACAAATGTGGCTGCCAAATTAGTAGACAAACTCCCCCCTTCCAAAGACTTTTTCAGCGCAGACAATGATTGTATTCGTGACTTTTACGAAAGAAAAGGTGTACGTGAAAACAGCTTCGAGTTATTACCAATCAGTGAACAATTTGTTTTCAAAGAGTTACGTAAGTTGAATGTATCAAAAAGTACTGGGTTAGACTTGATTCCAGCTAAATTTCTAAAAGATGGTGCGAAGGTTTTATTTAAGCCTCTAAGTTACTTAATGAACCTATCTATCTTGACGAGTACTTTTCCAGAAGATATGAAAATAGCAAAAGTGACTCCACTTTATAAAAAGAAAGATAAAACTGATGTTAGCAACTATAGACCTATTAGTGTTTTAAGCGTAGCATCAAAGATTCTAGAAAAATCGGTCTGTGTTCAAATTGAAAGATACTTCAAAGAAAATGATATAATTTATGAATTTCAATCTGGTTTTCGACATGATTATTCGACTGAAACATGTCTAATTCATTTGACTGATTATTTGAGGAGAGAAACTTCCCAAGGACGCTTTGTTGGTATGGTGCTCCTTGATCTGCAAAAAGCTTTTGATACAGTTAATCATTGCGTCTTATTGAAGAAGTTACAACTAATGGGTTTTGATAAGGCAAGTTTAGATTGGTTCAGATCCTACTTATCTAATCGGCACCAAGTAGTGGCCATTCATGATATTCGTTCCAAACTAATGCCTATAACATGCGGTGTTCCTCAGGGAAGTATTTTAGGCCCAATTCTATTTTCAAGTTATATAAATGATATGTGTATTTGTATAAAAGACTTCAAACTATTATTGTACGCAGATGACAGCGTACTACTCTATTCAAATCCTGATCCTAAATATATTGAGGAAAAGCTCAGTGAACAGCTGTCTACGTGTGTCGATTGGATGACTGATAATAAGCTTTCTTTACACTTGGGAAAAACAGAAAGCATTTTATTTTGTTCTAAAAGTAGTTCTAAAAAGTCATTTGAATTCAAAGTGACACACAATAATCAAGCAATCAAGAGAAAAGAGTCTGTGAAGTATTTAGGCATTGAGTTGGCTAGCGCAATTTCATTTTCATCTTTAGTAGAATCAGTTGTAAAAAAAGCAAATTCTCGTCTGAAATTTTTGTACAGATATCAAAGTTGTATGGATTTAAAAGCAAGACGTACACTCTGTTTTGCTCTTATTCAATGTTTATTTGACTATGCTAACCCTGCATGGTACAGTAACATAAACAAGTCAGATCAAAAGAAGTTGAAGATTATACAGAACAAAATGGTGAGATTTATCAACTGTTCTGGTCCAAGAACTCATGTTGGCTATAGCGAACTTTCTAAAGCTGGTTTTCTTGAAGTCGACCAAAGATCAAAACAACTCGCATTGCATCACGTGCATAAAATATATCATACTAGGGCGAATCATTATATTCGATCCAACTTCGATCTTGTTACTGACGTACATGATTATAATACAAGAAATAGACGATTCAACTTTAACTTACCAGAAAGAGTAGGTAGTATTGGAAATTCGTTTTATTACAATGCCATAAAACATTGGAATTCCCTTCCCAATGGTGTAAAAGAAATAGGAAACTATGATCATTTTAAGAGGAAATTAAAGGAATACCTAATACTTGACAGTCAGAGAAGAGAAGTGAATGACATGTTATATGATTGAAATTGTTATTCTTCTGTCGGTTCATACTTTTTCATGTTGTATATACTTATGTTTTCGTACGTTATAGAAATTCTACAAATTCATCATTATTTTCCTCTTCTTCCTTCTCCTCTTTTTCTTCTTCTCCTTCTTCTTTTTCTTCTTGTACTTAATATCATTTCTATCATCAGTTTAATGTTGTTATTATTATCTTTAATAAGTAGTTCTTTTAATTTTCTTATCTGTCTGTAAATATTACTATTTTAATTTATTAATTGTATACATGTCTGTAAGGGACCCCACTGGAAATAAGCTCTCGAGCTTTCGTGGGTTATCCTGTTCAAGCTGACTTATTTTTGATCTGTTATTATTGTATATTGTTGTATATTGGAAGCTTGTCGAATAAAATCAATCAATCAATCAATCAAAACCAATCATAAAATGAGGACATCCTCAGTTCAAGAACCCTGTAAATTGTAAATGTGTGTGTCCTCAAACATGTAATAAAATACTGATGTGTATACATATGAGTCCTCAGTTAACACCAGAAATACAAATATGCATGTGTAGGATGCATGTGTGTGTTGGTTGGGGTGGGGGGGGGGGGATTCTTGAGATGCACGAGCTAATGTATGCAATGAAGATTTGAAGACCGACCATACAATGTTACAGCTTGAAATAGTTACAAGTGAAATTCAGTAATTGTATCGAGAGTTTTATCAAAAGGTTTTGTAATTGAGTAGCTGAATACTAAGGCTATTACCAAGGCTATTTCTAGGTTATTGTGATTCTTTTTGAAGGGCTGGCAAGTGTGTGGAATAGCTTTTAGTGAGAAAAATGAATGCATATTGGTCTAGATAGTAGCATCTTCTAAAATCCCATACTAGAAGATTCATGTACATGTAATAACACTTTCTGAAGTTGCAATAATAAGCATTGTTGGTATGGCTTGAATCATTTAGCAATTGATCTGAATTTTTTATTTCTTTGAAAGAAAGAAAACATGGCCCAAAAGAAAATCATTCAATTTCTTACCGTTTAAGAATTTCAGCACTCTAAGAATGTGATATAGAGCATGGCAGTCAAATAATAAAAATGTGATTAAATGAAAAATGAACTAGGTTAGAAATAAATATGAACTCAATGTTGTGCAGAATAGGGAGTAATTAATTTGGCAAGTAGATTCTCTTAATGTGGCATATACAAATATTTCTTATAACGTTGAAGAGTACGTATATTTTGTTGTTTGTGGAGGGGGGGGGGGGAGAGAGGTTAAAGAGGTGTCAAAAACTCTCACATGATCAAATTTTTTAGGATACTAGGGACTTATAGATTTACACGACGAGAACGTGGACCGCCACAGGTGACATCCTTTTAAGGCACTGCCGGGCACGGCCCAGTGCCTTAACACAATGTCACACGCGGCAGTCCACGCTCTCGTCGTGTAAATCTAAAAGTCCCTATTTATGGCAGTACATAAGTTTTGCTGAAATCAGTATCTATATCTCATTTAATTCTCATTATATAATGAATTTGGAAAAGTGTGAATGCTTATAAATACCATTGTGATTCGATTTTTCCATATGTATTTACAACATTTATATGGGAATAATACTGCTCAGGTGGAGATGGTGCACGCATTGTATGCAAGGAAGTTGATTCTTATTAGTAATACTGGTTAGTGCATTACAAAAACAAACTTCTTTTCATGGAAGCATTTTTAGTGTGGATGAAAAAACACAGCACTTCTTTTAAAAAAATTTTGCTAGGCAAATATTTGAAAGAGAATTACTGTCCAAACAATATGCAAAACTTAAGATGTCTGGCAGACAGATTACTGCACATAAATACCTAATTGAAATAAAATATTAAGGAGTCTTCAGTTTGTTTATACCAAAAGCTCAGTAATATCATAATATTAAAATATTGTCAGCCTGGCAAAATGTACCACATCTTTGTATTTCATGCAAATGAATGAAATATCCATGTACAGTGTATCAACATACACAATTTAAACACCGTTTTCAGCTGAAACTACAAGTATCATAGGGCAATATGACAGCACACAATACCTACTTTAATTTAAATCTTTAAATGTCAAGTAATTGGGAGAATATAGATTGATAAAAAGGAAGAAATCTAATTCAAGTTGGCATATTTTTTATAAGATATTTTCTAAAGGGATTATATTTTAGATGTATTCTCTTTCATGATATCCGAGATGAAAATTTTCTTCACCAAACCATGTATCCTGCCAACCATAACACTAACATAATGAACATGTTATTTTAGTGCATCACATACTTTCCGCAGACCCAAACCCCAGGAACCATGGGTATAGTATTCTACAGGTTAAACATTGTGGAGTGCAACTCTTTGGAAGGCACACCCATCTTGTGTGTGTGTGAGGTGACAGGATACATACATGTATATATGAGCTCTAGAAACTAGGAAAGGTAGTGACAGAGATATCATTATATATCTGTAGGGGTATCTCACCTGAGCTTTATAATCATATCGTGCCCGAACAAATTTAGATGCTTGAGTGGATTGAGATGGGGGAGGAGTTTCCACTGCTGCATAAAGAGGGTCTGGTGATCGAATGGGGGTTAAAATGATACAAATAATAAGAGTGATGGTTTAAAAGAACAAATCAGGGGAAAAGGGCAAAGAAATAATAATGATAATAATAAAATTCAAGACATTAAAAGTAAGAAAATTGGATCATCAAACAAAACAAAAAATAATACAAAAACAATATTAGTCATAATAAGATCAATGATTTGAAAGAAATAATGATAAGAAAAGAAAAAAAAATATTCTTGACTTGAAAGTAAATAAATATGACAAGTCAAACAAAACAAACATAATACAGAAAATCACATCCCGCATTGAGAAATTCATAAATGTATTATCTGAATAATATTGAATGGTGCTGAGATGATCAAATATAAAAAATAAGAAAATCAATTTTATAATTGATTACATAAATCAATCTTATAATTGATGAATATAAAATAAGATTAGTTTATTCATACTGGGCTTATAATGGAAATGGTACAGTGTTTGATGTTATACAAAAGTTGAAGACCTGTATAGTTATGAGTGTTAATTTATATACCTTCCTTTAATTAGAATACATATACATGTAATAACTACAGTTATGGCAAATATGTAATATATCAAACAAAATGATATATTTCATGCATTTATCATGTGAAATATATCATTAATGTGAATGAATCATACTTTGTAAAATAAACAAGGTTAACTTCATTTCAAAATTTGAGCTTAAACAAAGAGACAAAATGTGCACACTGTGAGAAAAATATGAGGAAATATGTATATTGGAGGAATAGCGGTTTCTAGCAAAAGAAAAACAAGATTTGACAAAATTCCAGTGCAGATTAGACAATGAAAAGCCAAGGATACATGTTAGTGTTATAGTACTAGTAGCAAGTAATTTATTAAAATGATATAATATACAAAGCTGAATTAAACAAAGAGAAATATATACAGGTTTCAAGGATAAGTAATTCTGTTTTATCATACAATGTATACAAAGTGAAAAATGTGAAATGAGAAAGTGCATAGATATAGAATTAAAAATGTTACATGAAAATTAGCAATCTATACATTTTGTTAATACGCACACACTTCAAAGCCATTCATATCCTACCTTTTACCAAGAAGTTATATTAATTTCATTCACAAATATCAAGTCATCCTATTCAGATACATGTTATTATTTCCATATTTTATACAATTTAGGTAATATACAATGTAACAAACTTGATTAATAAGCCCCAAAATTATTTCAATTTCATTTATTGTCCAATTTGTTTTAATAATATATACCCAATATAGGTTGGTTATAATCAAGAATTATATATATCTGTCTTTTTTTCACTCCTAGGAAGAAAAAAAACCAAGTAGTTATTATGATATAATTGGGTAATTTTGAAACCAAAATTTACCAATAACAAATTCACTACTGCAAGTGCATAGTATAATTATTAGTGCATTTTAGTACCGGTATCATGCATTTATAAAGATGGGATATATTTACATATCTCCACTATATATAGTTGAGTTAGATATATTGATTGAGCAGTCCTCTTTTAGACTGAGCTCATTGTTAGTTAGCTGGTTGATAGGGCAAAACTTACCAGACGACCTGAGTGCGTGTTGCAGCGATTGCAAATGCTCTGTCATGATATTTGATGAAATGCAACATGTTTAGTTAGAGTGTATGTGCAAGTGAATGTTCATGATTTATAACCCAATCACACACTTGGCATTCCAACTGTGGAACATTTTGGATATAAGATACTTCAGAAAAGTTTAATATGAATGTTATAAAAAGCTCAATTCCGAACTCTTTATAAAGACCGTTATAACGTAAGAAGGTGGTCTTCCTTTAATACAGACTTCTAAATAAATACTGTTTAAGATGAATTGGCTGTTTATCTGGGAGTTGTCAGACAATGTGATGAAGGGCATTGAGAATTTATTTCTGCCATACCGGCACTGTAATATGTGACAGGTTCTAAGATTTCAGGTCTAGAACTGACAAAAACTGCCCCCAAATAGTCACAGCCGGATAGTTGAGTGTGTGTTGGGTCTATAACACAAATGAGTACAACACAATAAGAATTGAATGAATGATAACTGCATTTAAGGTTGGGATATCTAGGGTGGTATTCTGAAAAACTACTTATTTTCCATTTCAGAGAAAGATATTTCAATTGTCTTAACAAATCTCAATTACTCTGAAGAATTGTCAGCCATATGTATATTCAGTTAATATTTGTTCCTGAATAAACATATGGCTGACAAATCTTCAGGATATCTGTACATACTTCAATGAAAATTCAAAATCTTTGTTGGTTATGCAAATTAAAACCCCTTGGTTAAAATTCATGACATGAATTACAGCTTTGGTTGATCGATTCTATGCCTTATCATGCATGACTATCATCATAAGCAAACAGAATAAGCATATGTCTCATGTTAGACAATGTAATAATCAAAGGAGCATTATAGAAGGTAAATACCCTACTATTGTTGCTCTAAAGATTGCTGAAGGATATGTGAGCAGCCCATTGTCAGCTGCTCCCAAGACGGTCATTAATTATACTGCCATTCAAAATACATAGCTCTTTAAAGACCTTCAAGTGGGCAGCTGATAATATACTGAACACATAGTTTCAGTTTTAATAGCAAGTAGAGAACTGCTTCAAGGGGCAGCCAAAGTTAGATGTGGAAGTCCTGCTCTTGAATCATTAACTTGTTTTATTGCATATCAGTTTCACACAGGTAAAACCATCCACTCAGAATACTCGGGAAAAAGATAACATATTCTGATTAGTCCTCACTGTTTTCGAACTGTATGAAAACTAATAAATGCAACAGAAAATGTATTAGTTAACCACTGCATACACATGTAGGAGCAGATATTTGGGGAAGAGGCATCTAAAAATACATGTATGAATACATTTGTATGTGACAAGATGTACGTATTAGGATGTGTATGTTCGTTTACTAGAAAGAATAAAAGATGTCCCATAATGGGAACAGCCCCCTTCTAATAAGAACCTGACTGTATAGTGTATATGATCTATAATATAGGATTATATGTCTGGCAAAGAGTGTTGGCAATTTACACAAAAACACAAGCAAAAGGAGATGCCAAAGTCAATTTAACATCAACCCAATGAACCACAACACCAACTGACAACCTTGTTAAAATGAATGTTAAACATCAAGGCTGAATTCCTAGTAATCTCTTCATGAAGGCCAAACTAGTACATGCCAATTAGACTGAGCAACAATACAAGGGCAACCTGTGCTATTTGCAGTTTTAGAGCTACTGTTAGATGTTTTGGCAATTCTGTGAATTTAACGTTAATTCAATAATAAAGATCATCCAGATATCAAAGCAACCATATTCCTTAAAGTCTATCAACTCTCACTACTGTGTACTTGGGAGCCGGATATTAACTGTAATGCATATGAGTAGGTGGAATAGACCAATATTCTCTAGAAATCACATCTTAAACCAAAGTTTTTTGCTGATAAGGAGTAAGTAAGTAAAACAAAAACATATATGTCAAAGACTTTTGTAAATGTAAATGTTGTATTCTGTCATAGAGATTTTTCAGGATAGAGACAATTTTGAAAGAAATTAAAATATATTTAGCATTATTTGAGACTTTGCCTTACAGTTGCTAAAATGTATCTAATGCACACAATCAGGTTATAAATTTGCCAGTTATCATCAAATCATTTTCAAAAGGAAAGTCTCACTGTGTGCTTTTTCTTGGTATTCCTGTTGCCTACATACAGTGGGCTACATTTCGAAATTTAATTCCTAATGTTCATACCTAGCTTTAAGAAAAATGAGAGCAGAAAAACAAGTAGCATTATATGATAAACAAAGATTGGCTACATCAAAACAGTCCTGATTCGGCTTGTAAGTTTGCCAAATAGATCTTGGCATTGACATATTTGTTTGAGAATTGAATAATGACCAAATGCAGTCTTTAGAAAAACAGGTGCCAGAAGATAAATTGATTATAGGGAAGGAATTGATTACAATGAACTAGAATCCACTGTTATTGTGATACAGATGTTATTTGTTCATTAACGACCAAGGTGTTACATATTGTTTTTGTGTCCAAAGCTTGTTGCGGAGCAGAATTTCATTTATTGAATGGATAAGCAGTCAACTGCAATGTCATTATTTACCTTAATTTTCATACTGATTTTTTCTTTCTCCTGAAATTTGAAATACTCATTCATTTAAACTAGTTCATTTAGGTTGCATGATGCCTTTTTGGTAGCATGATTTTTTTTAAATTTAAATTTTTAAATGTAGCATTGAATGAAAATAATGTTGCAAATTTGAAGAGGAAAGGCGATTTGGCATTTTATAAATAATTTTGTTTGTGTGGACAAGTTGGGGCGATTCTCAGTACTTGCTTTGGGCAACCATGTTTAATGTAAAATGGAGGCAATGAAATGAGGAACAGATGATGTCAAGCGATAGAAAGGTATGGAGTGTAGTGCCAATTTGAATCAAAGTTTTATGACAGAGAGAAGGAAACATTGTGATTGAGCACATATACAACCCACAGCCAACATCTTGCAACAGAAAGCCATGATGGTAGATAAATCTATTCAACAACCACAAACAGACAACTAATTATATAATGCAAGAGCAATGCGGTTTGGGTTAGTAGACTAAAATAAGTAGCATGAAAGAGGAATTGATGTGACTGTGCATGTAACCCATCCTGATGACAAAAGGACACAAATGATATATCCAAAAAAGCCTTATATTTCTCTATCAACAGATTCAGAAAAATTTCTAAATAATTTGTTAATTCTTACAAAGTAAAAAATAAGGACAGAACCTGCTCATAAACTGCCAACCTGTTTTTGGTTTTCGTAATTGTTATGATTCCGTTTTTTAGCCATTAATTCATGCCATATTTTGGATGACAGTGACATTTGCTTTCTTTTGTCATTAACAAGGCAGGGAGAAGGGGTGTACCCTGTGAGTGAACTCTGTGGTTGACTACAGGCAGGAAGTGCATTAGTGTACCGACACAACAACTCTGAGGTATACTAGATGTTGGTCAATTAAACAGAGTGCCCTTTGACAAACACTGTCTACGTCAGTTCAAGCTTCAAATTTCAATTGCATCCCTGACTGGATAAATAACCAAATGACCCTATCCTGACAAATCTAGATATTTAAAGACTAACCGGTATTTTGGTCAATTTATTTAAAAAAAAATATTTTGAAAAACATGGAAACTTTGAAAGGACCAAGTACACTAAAATCGTGATTTGTTATTCATACAAAACAACATAACAGCTAGTCCCAATAACTGAAAGCTTCCATGTATGTTTTGCTACTCACTCAGCTATTTCCATCAAATTTAAATACAACATTCATTTTTATTTGTCAACATTTTGTCCCAAATTTGTTGGAATTCATTGGAAGTTTTCATTTTTTCTCATTACCAGGAATCCTATCTACCTTTTAACTAGAGTCCTTCATGAAAGAGTTACGACATGGATATTGAGGTGTTTAAATTCTTTCTAATAAGAAATACAGTGAAGGGTGTTTGTTGCATTTTCATTAAGATGTTGCATAATAGTAGGAACAAAATGGTATTCAAATCATGGGTTGTCGTAACTCTTCTATGAAGGGACTCTGCCTATTGTGTGCGTGTCTTATTATCTACAAAGTCAATAAAGGATAATATAACTTCTTGTTTCCTACGATTGGACATAGCCCCTGACCCTATAGTGTTTAAACCTCTCCACCCCGTCCTCAAACTCTTCCTCTAGCCATATCCGTAAGCTCCAAAATTTACCGTTATCAGGTTGCCTGGGCAACGACCTCCGACCGCCATTGATGAGGGGATTGGGCGTATTACTGGGAATGGATGGCAGCGCAGTGTGAGGGTCTCTTCTCCGATGGGCGTCTGATGTCGGTGAGGGCATTGCTTTTCCGTTAGACATGGCTGATTTAGAGTTGCTCCATGGGGTTTCTACTTCAATGGGTGCTTCAAAGAGAAAATGGCAACAGGAATTCACTATCATTCAATTTGTCATTTCATTGCTATTTTGGGTCTGGTTCATTCACTCTTTAATCTTGCTCATCAATTTACTAAAAATCAAAAACCTTATCATCTGCTTTAACAATGTGTCATTATTTTTCACCATAGGACTGTTGAATATCTATGACAAATTACTGTGTAAAGCGCTAAGAACATTTTTTTTAACTACATGCTAAAGCAATGTTATTATTATTATTATTATATTACTGAATCTGGCAACCTGACTTGGTAAGGCCTTTAATAGATCAGATGTGAAAGTGAAACAAAATAAATTGAATTAAAAAAAAACTATACAAAAAAAAACGCTCTACAGCACAAAGGCTGAACCGTACATTTTTGTGGGAACTAAAAAGAAATATCCCTTCTTAAAAGCAGAACTTCTTATAACAAAGATGTTTAGACTTGTGTTTTGTTGATTAATGCCTGCCATACATTTGCATGTCTGATTATTGCATTCTAATACAAAGATTGGTACTGGTTCTCTTACCAGGCCTGCTGCCTCCCGTCCTCTTCTGAGCAACAAATAATTTGATATCATTCTCTTCTGAACACTGCTCTAGGATCTTTCTGCTTTCCTCACAATGCTACAGAGGAAAGGTCAGAGTTAGTAAGAGAGAGAGAGAGAGAGAGGGGGGGGGGAGAAAAGAGGGAGAGAGAAAGAGAGACAGACAGAGAGACAGAGAGACAGACAGAGAGACAGACAGACAGAAAGGAGCAATACACAAAATTAGGTACTCATTTATCATTAAACGAAATATGAAAAAGTCATACTATTTTTTTCACGAAAATGAAACAAGTTTACTTGATAAAAAAGAGGGAATTCCCATTGTGGGTATGTGTGTGTACATGTAAAGGTGAGAGACAGAATATGCATTCAACTCATCGGGACCACTTCTGATACAGATGTATGAAAGGTTCAAATAAATTGCAAGCCATCCAATCATTGGATTGTGTATTAGCATGTGCATGATTAGAGACTTTTGTTTGACAATGTCTACCAAAACTCTTTATACATGTACTTTGGGGTCTTGACTGCCAAATAAGTAATATTTGTAACTCCCAAACTTTTGTAATCCCTTTCAAATCCCGACGCTTTGATTTCAAGGAGACAAGACTTTGTCTATATATATCCAATATATATGGTGCCCCAGGTACAAAGGGTTCATATCAAACAACTGAAAAATTGCTTATTACTGCAGGAAATTTTTATTAGAAGCTTTTATCACAGGATTAAACTGTCCTGTATTCAACTAAGAGGGCGTACCTGGTCATCCTCGACGCAATGCAGTGAAAGCATGTTGGTTTGGACCCACATTGAGTTACGTAAGAACTTTATCCTTTCTTCCTCCATAGCTTGTAGAACCTGCAATGAATACATTAAAAACAAAATATAACCTCAAGAAGTTCATGCTCCTCCCTGACCCCTCTTTGCAAACATTTGTATGACTTAGAGGATACATGGAACATACAGTAGGCCCATAAACTATCGGCTTGGACTGCTTCAAAAGACTGCTTGCAAAGGAGGAATTTAGTGAATTCGTCCCTATTTTCACGAAGTGACGGTAGTGAATGAAAATCGCATACAATTTGCGTGCGGATTTTCGTCACTACCGTCACTTCGTGAAAACAGGAACAAATTAATTTTATCTTTAAATATTATATTGTTACAGTACTAGCATTATATATCTTAAAAGGTGAACATTTTGGTTTCCAGTTAAAATAATGTACTATCATCTCTTTTCGGTAAATGCAATACCAATTTTTTTTGGGATGATTTTTTTTCTTAGTTCATGATTTGTATTTTAGATTCTATGAACATAGATACATGTACATATGAAGCAAAAATGTATATAAAGTGTACAAAGTTTAATTCACAGATTAATTTGATTTAATACATTATGTCCACTTATAAATTTTTGTCTATATTTAATTTTTTTACAGCTTTTTTATTAAGAAAAAAAAAAGAAGTACAAGCTAGGCATATGAGAAATTACTTCACGTTGGAGTTAAATCCGTTCCAAATTATAGCAGAAAAGAGTGGATGAATGTACTCTTTTGAGATTCCACTTTTACGGGCATGGATTTTTACTCCACAGTGAAGAGAGCCTCAAAAAGATTCCCCAAAGAGTGGATTCCACTGCTTGGAGTGTGAATCTTCACTCCAAATCAACAAGACCTACATCATGACACCAAAAAGAGCGGATTTCCACTCCTACTTTTTAGAGCAAAGTATTATCATGAAAGGTTATTTAGTCTTACTATACATGTCTCCTCCATCTGACTCTCCCAGTCACTCCTGGCATCCTCAAGAGTCTTCACCCAGGCATGGTATTGGGCCTCTGTGAAGAGAGAGAGAAAGGGAGAATGAGAAGAGAGGGATAGTGAAAGAGGTACAGTATATATGAGACACATATGAGCAAAAGTAGACAGAGAGAGAGAGAGAGAGAGAGAAAGAGAGAGAGAGAGAGAGAGGGAGAGAGAGGGAGAGACAGGGAGAGACAGGGAGAGACAGGAGCAATATATCAAATTAGGTGCTTATCTATCATTAAACGGAATATGAAAAAGTCATACCATTTCTTTCACAAAAGGAAACAAGTTTACTTGATAAAAAAGAGGGGAATTCCCGTAGTTGTATGTATACATGGTACATGTAAAGGACTTTGGGTATTCATGAATGGAAAAATACAACAAAAGGAGAGAAGGAATATACATTCGTTTAAGCGAGACCACTTCTTAAACAGATGTACACGTGGTTCAAATCAATTGCAGAGAGAGAGAGAGAGAGAGAGAGAGAGAATGAGTATGTATGAGAGAGAATGAGAGAGAAAGAAAAAGAGAGAATAGATAAAGAAAGAGAAAAAATGAGAAGAGAGTAGTATGAGTAAACAAAATGTGGCACAAAGAAAGAGAGCAAGAAAGAAGACAGAGAGATTAAGAAAGAATAGGAGAGGGAGAGATAAAGAGAGATAGAGAAAAAGAGAAATAAAAAGAGAAAAGGAGAGAAAGAGAAAGGGAGGAAATGGGAATTCCTAAAACAGCACTCATGAGAACAGGTGACCCTCTTGCCCCCCCCCTGGACCCGCCCCTGGCAGCCTTTTAAAAACAGCACATTTCACTATCTATTTACTCATCACAGAAATCTGATATATATTTTTGTGGTTTATCAACTATTCCCATGGACTTTAACAACCACAAAGTAAGAGGACATTCGTCTGCATGACAATGCAATCCCCCTAGATAAGACTGGAAATGCTACTTTTCTCCAGAGCCTCGGCTGCTGCCAGAAGAGCCATCCCATGATTCCTGTTATCCAATTCCACTTCCCAAAATAACATGATCCTGTATCATATGACAGATCACAGTCGTTTCCTCTAGCTTCATGCACTGAATTCTCTTCTATAATACTTTGAATTTATGGTTACCCACTCTAAAGCTCCAATCCTAAAGCTCCCAATTTGCTGACCCCACGTTAAAGTTTGGCATACTGATCTGAACAATGTCAAACTGACTGAGAAATGCATGTTTTCAAATTGACAGTTAAACCTTATCATTTTTATTCCAGCCAAAATTAGAATTAATCCAAAATAGAACACATAATATGACTGGCAACACCACCCCAAACCCCCCCCCCCCCAAAAAAAAAAAAAAAAAAAAAAAAAAAAAAAAAAAAAAAAATAGCAAAACAGAATACAAAATGAAATTACACAACAAATATATTATCTGTTGGAATTTCTTTTTATCCTCTTTATATGTATTACTGACAGTATATTCAAACATGTACTTATAAACATAATTAGTTTATACATGTAAGTACATGATTCAAAAAATTAAGTTTCAATTAATAGATATTAATCAATTAAAATGGCAATACTTTTTTCTTGCATTTCTTGTGTTCCTTTATGACATACTTCATCATGAAGAAAATTCATTTGAAAACCATACAATTGAAAGATTCCTTTTACTCTAATTCAGCACGGCTATCAACCCTTTAATAACCACAGTGATATATTATCTTAACTTGCCAAGACAACGACATCCTCTTTGGATCCAGAGAATACGTTCTAGGCCCCACTTGCCACTGATCTAGGAAATAGGTGATTTGTCACGCCAAGTTCCTTAGCTTTACCAGGTTCTACTTCAAAGTAAATGCATGCCCAATTACATCTCTCAATATGACCCAGTTTGCTTGTAAAGTCATGTACATGGAGCGTACAACAAAGGGATAGCTGGGCCAAGGGTCAGTCTATTATTGTGCCGGGATGAATTGCATTTTGAGATGAAAATAATACGAAGGATTTATTTAAGGTAACAATTAAAAGAATGGAAAATATTTTTTTAATGCAGTAAATGTTGAATATCAGAGTAGATAAGTTTCAGTGTGTTTCTATGTGATGGTATATGGATATGCAGCGTATAGCAAATGTAGGGAAATTATTCTTCAAGATGGTAATTAAATGGTGGAAAATCATGGTAGAAAGTTTTGAAGTGTGTTTCTTTTCAACATTCTAGAATAACTTCACACATATAGTGCACATGTACCTCAACCATAGGAGAGATGATTAATGTTATCAGTTAATTTCTTCAAACTCCTTACCTGTTAACTCATAGAATGCCAGATAAAGTTTTTGAGGTTGATGTTATGCATTCTACCTCAGGGATGCAAATTTTTTTTTTTATGGGAATGGTACCCTTTAGACTCCTACTAAATAAATGTAGCTGTACATAGAATTAGATAGGGTTTGTTAATTTATGACATAATGGTTGCCCCCCCGCCCCTGAAAACTTAAAATGACAGAGCTGTACCTGTATGCAGCCAAACGCAATGGATTGATAATTTATGTGTACATCTATGTTTGAATTGAACTTATTCACCTCTTTCATAAAAATATGTTAAGTCAAAGAATACATTAAATATATCTTACAAAGATAGATAAGCCAATAAAATGGAAAATATACTAAAGGAAATTACAAAGTGGTTGGATCATCAAAAAAGTTACAGAAACTTATAGGTAGATGATCCTAAAAATTAACACCTAAAAAAAGATAAAAGGGACAACACAATAATACAATGGTAATTACATGCATATATTACACACTATGTATTACAGACTATATAATACATACCTGCTTGTTCTACAGATGCCAGACATTTCTCTTTCTTTTGGACGAGCTGTTTAAAAAAATGGGAAAAGAGATTGAAAAAAGATTCATGAGGGATAGCAAGTACATAAGAATCACTTTGTATTAACACAATACAAAGCAATCACAATAATGGAGGAAAAAGGTTGATTTCTTTAGAGTTCTTCAAAAGAAAATAGGGACATGCATTTAAAACAAACACTATTGACCAAAAAGCTGTATATATTTTAAATTTTTTGAATGTTTCCTTTCTTTAGTTTGAAGCATTCATATAGGATGTAATTTCAGCTCTCAAAAATGCTGGCTTTTAAATATCAAATATAAGATAGATTTCAGATGTCTCATAAACTGTTATTTTAAAAGACATGTGATACCCAAAATGCCAAACCCTTACAGTGAAATTCTTGAGTCATTCTTCCAGGGAAGTGTCTATGTGTAGACATGCTCATGTCATGTTGTTATGACAGAGTGCTATTTTGAACTGTTCTATTTGCAGTTTTAAAAGCATTAAAGCAACGTCTTATATGATAAAATCATAGATTGTCATTTGAATCGGCTAATATACAAACGTGATAGATATTTGCTTTCTCTATTCATTGTGGATCATGAAGCTGGCATGAAATGCTGGGAGTTACTACAATTTTTTTCTTACATAAAAGACACAGAATCATTATGTATTCTATCTTGAACTGGATGGGAAAATCCTTCTTCCTCTATAGGTACACAACATGCCTGAGCCTGAGATAAACAACAACTTTGTTTTTGCCTGGTGCTATCATAAAGAGCAGACTTATTTTCCTTTCTCTCTGAATAATATGATTAAAGGAAAACCATGTCAGTCTATGTCAGTCCAAAGATAGACTGTTTGGGTATTACCAGAAAAATCAGAAAAAACAAATTTAAAAAGTATTTAAGAAATAATACAACTAATGAAAAACTTATAAATGAAAAATAAATAAAATAAATAATTACAAAAAGATCACAATAACATGGAGATGATGGTAATAGAGTAACATGTTTGTGATGTAATCATCTCACTATTCAATGCTTTGATTATTATGAAAGCTGTGGTCAGAAGGAACATCAAACCTGATCAAACTCAGTCAGGTCATATTAGTGTGCTACTGCATAAGACTGGATCTTTATTTGTTCAGGCAATGACGGTCCTATATTTTGTCAGTATGAATTAGCTCACCTTGTCCACTTCTTTTGGGGCTTGGACCAGTCTCTGTTTCATGTAGTTCTCATCGGCAATGTCCAGCTCTCGTTTCCGACCCTCAAATGTCTTTTTGGCCTGAACAGTGAGAAGAGAAGAATGCATACTTAAACAAACAAAATTGTAACTCCTCGTAAAAATAATAATTTTACTTCAAAAATAGGAATTATACTTAAAATACATGTAAGTATTGCCCCCCCCCCAAAAAAAAAAATAATAATAATTATAATAATAATTTAAAAACATGTTTCCTAATCTAGAGCAGTGGTCTTCTAAATGATGTAGCCTAGCAGAGCGGGGAAAATGTTGGAGTGCCTTGAGCACCTTGCATGGTGGATATATGCGATTACAAAATATCCAATATTATTGTTATTACTATAAACATGTACTGATAGGCTACCAGATGACCTTCTACTGTATTCACTACATCTATGCTGAGAGAAGCAAATAAAGATAAATATAAATGTAAACAATCCATAATGTCCTATAAATATTGTATTGCATCTATACTACAACAAACCATTGGTACAATGTAATGTCGTAATATTAGTTTTTAAGTAAGTTATATATTTAAAACCATTGACTATTCATTCTTCTCAACCATATACACAAAGCTTACATTTAAGGGCTATGCCTTTAATATGAGGCAATGGGATAAAAAAGTTCTACCACAAACAACAGAAAAGTATTAGCTACATGTAGCTGTTTTTGGCACTCTTCAAGGCAAAACATCAGGAATTCTGCCCACCTAAATCAGGTTTACTTAATCTAGGTCTACATCACAGTCTGAAACCAGTCTGAAACCAGTATGATAGGAGCTAGAACATCCTGGCTCGTCTCCAAACCATGTTTTTCAAACTTTTCACAAGTAGAGGATCGTTTTGGCATGGCGTCACAACTCGTTACTCGAAGATGACAATTCCCTAGGGAGGTTCAAAGGTTCATGGAGCTCGATTTTTCTCTTGGGTTTGGTTTGGTCTATAAAGCCAACAATGTACATTCATAAAATCATGCCTACTATTCTTCTAATCTGAAGTTGTAAACCAGTATGTTTGTAGGTGAAAAGGAAGCTAATGTACATGCTAACTTCACAGATGGTACACCACATAATCAATAGATAAGATTGGTGCATTTACATGTATATGCACTATGACTTTTTTAAAGGGAAATCAAACCTTGATAGCAAAATGCTGTAGAGGAAAGTAGAGGAAAGCAGAGAAGTAGACTGGTGAAAATTTGAATGAAATCGGACAAAAAAATATAAAGTTATGAATTTCTGAAAAGTTGCAATCACTATAGGTACGGGCTCTTCAAATTGGCTGATCTGGGAATCTATGACAACTTTCCCGTTTGTTCCACCAACAAAAATTACTAGAATGTCAATTTCTCGATAATGTATGACTCTGCAGTGTGTTTTTCTCTTTAGAGGACCTATACTAATATACTTTCCATAATATATTTTATCCAAAGGGAAAGGCACATGAAAATATGTTTCAGGCCTTTGAAAAGATTCATTTTCATTTATAAATATTCTCTGGTAACATACATGGCAGACTGAGGTAAACTGTGTTATCTATGCAATACAATGGGACACAATAGGCAGACAGTACTCATGTTTTACCTGCAAACATACCGACATTAACCTTTGACCTCATTCTATTGTTGCTTCTGTAAATACCATGCAGCAGGTCCTGAATATACAAACTTTTGAAGCACCCAGTATTTATGAACTATATTTAGAGTGCACAGGTACAGTTGCATCACAAAATGCAATGTATTTAATACTTTAACTTCCTTAAAACTTGAAACGGCTGCATAGATTTCTTCTAGTGTACCTGTTAGTACTGAGTGGCCACTTGCTGCTTGTCTAGATAACTAATGACCAGCTTATTGAAAGCACATTACGAGGTGATTTCTCTCTGATTTCTTTGTCTCTTGAAAGAAAATCTATGCTCAATTAATTTGTACATGTTTAATCAATGTTACACATGTCATACAGTTTTGAGTGATAGCTGGATCAATCCTCACTCTAAAAGCTCAAGTTCCGGTCTGTTCATTTTTTGTGTTATCCTTTAATATCAAATATTATCTAATCATGGACCTCATCTATCATGTAAAGACCTAAAACCAAAAACTCTAAACCAGTATGTGTCAAAAAAGTCCACAGCAAAACCTACCAAAGCAAGTACTGCATGATATTTTTCCTTATCATTTCTCAATATCTTAATGATGATGATACGGTATACTTGTAGACTGATCTGCAAACATGGGTTATGTCTACAGTTCATTCCTCTTGAAAATGATTAATGATCTACATACATTACTAGACTCATGGGCCAGAAATGTGTCATTTTTACCAGATATTATGCTCTTTCTTCGTAGACTAGAATAACAGAGTGGAACCCAACACTCTTGGTCAGTATCTTTTCTGAAAGATAATCTTTGATAAAAATATCATATATTTCAAAATAGCACCCCCAATGACCTGTTACATCAATATTAGTTGCTTAACTTATCATTAGAAACTTTCTCTAGTTGAGGCGGACTTGAAAACGCCTCAGGGTGGATAAGAATCACAAGTATCAACTGGGATGAATGGAAATGCAGCCATAACAACAGATTTCCTGATAAAAAACTTCTTCGAGTCAATTAGTCACTAAGATCCCTTTTAGAGTCGAAATTCCTGTCCGTCTGACATTATAACAAATAAAAGGAAAGACAATAAATAGGCCAGGAAATGAATTAATAACACTTAATGTGTCATGTCCGAATTTTTGACTTTGGATCTCACTTTCCTTCAAATTTAGATCTTGATTGTCGTCAATTGTCGCAAGGCTTTGTGGAAGACTAAACTTGTGATGAAAACATGAATTAAGAATTGAAAACTCATTGATGCATGATGTATCACATTTTCTTTTTGTGAGAAGAAAATATGATACTCCCTGGATGTAATTTACATTATCATTAATTGTCATTAATTAATCATTGTCATTCATCTCTCTTTCAAAATACATTGAAACTAGTAAGGGAGTTCTTGCATAAAGTTTTTACATGAAGAAAAAAAATGACAGAAATTAAGAATGGAAATGAAAGCAACATCTGAAAACACATTTTGTAGGAGTCGATGGTAATTTAGCTCCAGCAATCGTGAAGAAAGCTCTGGAGCATACACAAATTTTCACTTGTCTTTTTTCTGTAAAAAGTTAATAAAGGGGCTCCTTTTATATATGTATGAACCAAAGTGTAATTTAAGACTGGATAGGAAGAACAGGTAAAGTAGCTTTTTCGGATTACCCATGGCAATTATGGAGGAAATCCAAAACTAAACATTACCGATAACACTGGATCATGATGACCTTTGAACTTATGCTTCCTGTTTCATCAAAGAAAATGCTTCCTGATATGATTTAAATTTGACACTTTCATACAAATACAATAGAGAGATGGCTAACATACAGTATAGGGTACTTGTAGTAATGACAAACTGCTTCAAGATATTCTAAACCATAACATTTCTTCTGTAAAACAGTAATTTGCAACATTAGGAACTCTGCAAATTCCTCCAGCCCCTCACCACCATATCTGGGTAGAGTATTATAGTTATGTACAAGTACAAGTAGAGTGGCTGTGGGAGCTGCAACCACTTATTTTCCCTAATGTATGCAGACCTGCTTGTGCCTTACACATTCAACATGAAAAAATAAGATAAGGGTAAATCTTTATGTGTGATTCCTCCCCCAAAACTACCCTAAAATTAAACCCTATTAAACAAAAATTGATAGGTTCATAAAGCTGTCAATAAATCTGATACCTTTTCGCAGGCAGTGAAAGGATACACATCAATCATATCATAAACGCAATTTTAATTATAGTGTGATACTTGAGAAACAATTGGATATACAGTTACCACTGGCAATATAAAGTATAATGTGAAACCCAGATTTCAATGCCATCTTGACATTAAACCTCAGACAGACAACTTTCAAAACAGGAAACAAACTCTACTTCATTTTTTATTGGAAACTCATCCAAGAATTAATGGGCAGATATTTCCCGTCTGCTCCTTTATTGCTGGAATGTGTTAGTGACATATAAAAACTAGGTTTGGCTCGTTAACATCAACATAAGACTGTCAATCATTTTCATGCAACATTCATGCCACTTCAGATCCTACATATTGTCAGCACAATCAGGTGTGCCATATTTTCCAAATTCAGACTTGTGTTTTGAAATGAAACCCAAATGTTTTTGTTCGAAAAAAACCAAAGGCTGAAAGAGCTTTGAAATGGGGTTAGAGAGGGTGCAGTAATATGGTGACAGAAGCTAGGCCCCCTCAAGGTAGGAACAAACTGAGGAACTATTAATAGGCGCCTTCTGCCTCGGGGACTCGAGACGCAAGAATTCAAGACACTAGCTGGAACCTAGTTCCTACTTCCCTATAATTCATTAACCTAAAACTATCCAATCTCTCCTGCATTAGCCTACATTTATTAGGTATTTCTGGTATCCATAAATAATGACTACGGTAGCTTAGATGTACGATCAGTTTGACATTGCTTTGTTGTTAAAGAAAAATTGTTTTATTTAAACTTGGGAAGGTCTCTAGCTTTTAAGCAATGGAAGAGCAATTGCAATCTGGCTTCTGTAACAGCATCAAACTCACACTGGCGCAACTACAAACATTGCATAATTAATACATTATTTTATATACCTCTGATCAACTCCAAACCTCCAAACATTTTAATGATTATTCCTACATGTACCTCATGTTAGGGACCCATATATCCCCCACCCACATTGGCCTATAAGGTAGCAAAATAATGACATCAAAATAGTCTGATACCTTTCATGTTGTTGTGGCAACCATGCCAAGTTTCCTAAAGGTGCAGGAATGGGTTTCAATAAAGAACACAGATGATAGACACTATTCCATTACGCATTTGGATCAAAACTATTTCTCAACCTTATAAGTTGGCAGCAGGATGCATCTTGTCTGATTGTCTAAATCCTGGAATAGTCATGACTACTGATAGCATCATCAGTCTCTATGGAGTACTTTCTTTTGCACACAGATTTATTCAGAAATAACAGGTGGATTTTTTCCCCAAGGATAACATAAGTCAAATCAATTTGATTCTTGTAAATCCCTACAATTAAGCCCTTTAACCTGCCAAGCATCGTGAGCAGACTGAGCATGATTGTGATTTATTGTAGTAGAAAGACAAACATAATGGATTGCACTATCAGTTTTGGTTTCAGTCAAAAGTCATGCTCATTATGTCATACTTTACTCTGACGTTTGCTAAATCAGCTTGCTGATGTTCCCATTTATCATTTAGAATGTTACCATTTTTCTATACACAAAATGATAACTTGCAGTATTGCACACAACTCGTAAACCTTGGGCCAGACATGACTAGCATTTCTGCTACTTCTGATTCAAGTTTGTCATTATTTATCATGCCATGATTAACTTGTGTCAAGTTTAGTACAACGTCATTTGAAATATTGTCATGAGTTACTTTATAGTTACTACTCTTCAAAGAAAATAGAATTTGACATAATATGCCCTGTATGCTGAGCAATATGTGCAGCTTATTATTTATCAACAAAATATTTACAAACATGTATTTCTGGTCTTTTCATGTCCATGGACCTCAAAGCTTCCTTTTTGAATCTGATGTGGAGCTATTTATCAAAAGGGTCTTACTAGCCTGTCTTCCGGTCTTACCTGTGTGACTTTGTTGTACCATTCCTTCTTGACAGCCTGTGCTTTCTTAGTGTTCTCTTCAGGCTTCTTTCTCTTCTCCTTCTGTGCTTCTCGGAAATCCTCAATCTTCTTGGCTTCTTCCATCATCCTCATACTCAGCTGGATGTGGGAGTTCCCCATGGCTTCTGTCTGCACTAATAACTCATCCCACGACTTCCGAAGACCACTGTGCATTGAGATATAATCATCAACAACAGTATGTACACCATCTCCAATGGCTTCTAGATGTCTACTCCAGCCACAATAACTCCATGGTCAATCTTCTACACAAACAAATATGTAGCTTCAATGCTGAATCAAACACATGTATACTACGTATAATATGTAAATGACTACTTTGCACATACATATGTGTCGCTACCCTGAATTTAGCAAGGTTGACATATTTTCCCTATGAGGCACCATTTTACTGCACCTGGGTAAAGAGAGGAATATATCTTTGTGTGTCTTGCCTATGGATGAGTGTGGCTAAGTTAATCCTTATTGGTGTTACATGTATGCAAGTATTATCTATACAAGAGTACAGAGTTTTTATTTGAAATGCAGGAATCTGGAGCAATGTCATAATGGAAGGTTTATGACAAGAAAACATAGGATTGGACTGATAGCAAAACAAATTCCAGGTGACTCTTATCATCTACTCTGAGTCTCTGATACATGTACATAGGTGTGTCTAAATATTAAGGAATAAAGGATATCAACTTTAATCTCTTTGACACTTACATTAAACTGTGGATTACTCCAAAAGTGTGAATGACCTTCATTAGTTCTCAAATTCTCTACTAAACGTCATCTCCTGCATGATCTAAGCAAGTCATAGTGATTAGTAAAGAATTACCAGAAGAACATAAAAAGGGTGTGGCCTCCAGAAGGGGACCAAAAAGGTAGGAGCTTACCTCAGCAGGAACACCTTAGTTTGTTCCTACATGAACTTACGAGCATCAAGAAATCAAGTCTCAGAACATAATTAATGATGACATTGTGAACCCCTCCTGTATTTAAGCCCTTCCTGTCAATGCACAACAAATCATTAACATGTTAGAACACTCGGCCCAAAGTGAATATTTATAAAAAGTTAGTGGCTTCCAAGAAATGTATGTTTTGTTTTCTACCACATTTACAGATCTTACCCAATTTCCTCCTTTCCTGATGCATTTTTTGCCATTCTCTGTAGAGATCGCCCAAATGTGTCTTCCGCTTTCGCTCTGTAACAAGGAAAAGGGTTGAGGAAATAAAAAACACTTATATGCAAGGTTTAGTTCAGACAAAACAACAATACGAAGACCAGGCTTTGCTTGGTTTCAGGTCATTCATGTTGCTGCTATATCATTTGATTTTGACAGAAACCGTCTCAAACTTACATCTCTAAAATCATAAAGAGTCGATAATGCACTCATTAAAGAGCAATCCAACCTTCGTGATAGGTTCATCTGTATGAAAGCAGAAAAATAAGAGAAAGAGAATGGCAAAAATTTGAAATAATAATAAGAGAGTTATGAATGTTTAGAATCTGAGAAACTAAATCTATGCAAATCTCAAAGTGGCAATTTGGATAGTGGATTGTGATGTATTAATGGACAACTCTCCCGTTTGTTGTATACAAAAGTATCATTAATATCTGTTTTTCTTATGGTGCTTTCTCCCTTGGGGCACTACTGAAATATATATTATGGATAGCATATTATTATAGATTCTCTAAATAGAAAAAAGAGTAATATATTTTGAAAAGTTGAAATTTTAAGTCATATAGTGTGTCGAAACAAATGGAAAGTTGTCTGGCTATGTCACACTGACACTACTGATTCAGTCAATGTTAAGCCCCCATGCATATAGTGATTACAACTTTCAAAATTTCATAACTTCCTTTATTTCTCACTGATTTCAATTGAACTTTCATCAGTCGGCTTCTCAGGTTTTTTCTGCTTTCTTTTAGAGTAGTTGTCTTTTAAGGATAGATTTTCCCTCAATAATTTGGAGATATGTATAAATTTCTAACACCAGTGCATCTTAAAGAGCAACAATTGATAGAGACCCGCAGGAATGGAAGTGACTGAATATGCATGGGAGCTGGATATTCAAAGTCTTTGTACATTGCCTTGCTTATTTCTAAACTCATATAAAGTCTCTGAACAAATGTATTCACATCAACTATTAAACAGATCTGCAGTAGGATTATTGTAGGATTGTATATGATGTCCTTTAAGTGCTGTCCCACTGGGTTATTACTATAACAAAATAAATTGTGGCTCTCACAAACAATCCCATCGTAAGTACATCATAGGCATATGGTCAAAAAGGTCAGGAATGACTTGGTTGGAACAATTTCGTCTGAGATATATTTAAAGAAGGGCATCAAATATTATATTTTATTACTGAGAAATGGCCTTCTGGCTCTCAACAGGCGATTTGCAATACTTATGTCATGACTTCTAGAACGATCTTCCTTATTAACATGTCGGCTACCTGAACTGAATGCGTTGATGTTTTCTTTTCCTCATAAGAGGTGATTTGCCCGTACCTTTAAAAGTACTCAACATTCCCTTTAAAGTGATAACTTATAAGTATTTGGTTCAAGCAAGCACAAGTACTTCCTTAATTCTCTCATTCTGAATACTAAATGTTATTACAACTAAGAAGGGGAAATAAACACATCCATATTATGACTGTACGTGTAAGTCTGTCTAAATGATATCAACATATCACTATTGGGCAGCCTACATGTACAGTGTACATTGTCAACCCTCCAGGAAATAAAAATAGGCCCGGCCCCTAAAAACAAACTCTAGTTTATTAACAAACCAGAAGAATACTGCCCTTTATGATTATCTTTATGAGCCCAAGGCAAGCCTGGGACTGCCTGGTCGAGCTAAGATAATCAAAGACAGTGTTTGTTCTTGGTACATGTACATCTAGGCTATAGATCTATGACCTACATGTACAACTACATGTTGTACGTGTCTTCTGAGTCTTGAGTGAAGTACATTTAGAAAATGTTTGGCTAATGCATTCCTTAAATTCAAGTTAAATCTGCTTATAGATAGAGATCAATCATGGGAATGGTGTTTGTGGCCACTGCAGACAGGTTTTGTATGATAAATATCTACCGGTATCTGTTTATCTATCTATCTAACAGCCATGAGAAGGGTTTAACAGGTCCTACAATACTGTCTTGGGGGACACACTTACAAAGAGCTGTGAGTTGACTTCAAGGACAAGGTTTATTAGGTCTAACATCTTGCATACCTAGGATTCAAACATATATCTTTTAGAGATGGTGACATTTAGGGCCATCAATAGGGGCATTTACACTGTCTTCCAAACACGCCAAAAAATGCCAAACCGGAGCCTGGCCGCGATGTTACCAAGGGCAACTACGCTTTACCGGCAGAAACGCCAAGCCCCAAACATTCCAAAACGAAGTGTGATCTTTTGGCGTGTTTTGGCGTGTTTTGGCGTGTTTGGCAAGTATAAACGCTCGCAGTTGTAACATCGTGATGTTAGGTAAAGTGACTTGAGGAGCGGGGCTAGATGTCGTCCTTTTGAAGACAATGATCGATTAATACAAAGAATAACATAAGAGAAGGTGACAGAAGGAAGAAACTAAGAATAACATAAGGATAGACAGAAAGAGAAAGTAATAGAAGGAAGAAATAAAGAATAACATAAGGAAAGACAGAAAGAGAAAGTGATAGAAGGAAGAAATAAAGAATAACATAAGGAAAGACAGAAAGAGAAAGTGATAGAAGGAAGAAACAAAGAATAACATTAGGAAAGACAGAAAGAGAAAGTGATAGAAGGACGAAATAAATAATAACATAAGGGAAGACAGAAAGAGAAAGTGATAGAAGGAAGAAATAAAGAATAACATAAGGAAAGTGATAAAAGGAAGAAATAAAGAATAACATAAGGTAAGACAGAAAGAGAAAGTGATATAAGGAAGAAACAAAGAATAACATAAGACAAGGTGATAGAAGGAAGAAACGAAGAATAACATAAGGAAACACAGAAAGAGGGATTGATAGAATGATAAAAAAAACAAAGAATAACATAAGAGAAGGTGATAGAAGGAAGAAACAAAGAATAACATAAGGAAACACAGAAAGAGGGAGTGATAGAATGATAAAAAAAACAAAGAATAACATAAGAGAAGGTGATAGAAGGAAGAAACAAAGAATAACATAAGGAAACACAGAAAGAGGGAGTGATAGAATGATAAAAAACAAAGAATAACATAAGAGAAGGTGATAGAAGGAAGAAACAAAGAATAACATAAGGAAACACAGAAAGAGGGAGTGATAGAATGATAAAAAACAAAGAATAACATAAGAGAAGGTGATAGAAGGAAGAAACAAAGAATAACATAAGGAAACACAGAAAGAGGGAGTGATAGAATGATAAAAAACAAAGAATAACATAAAAGAAGGTGATACAAGGAAGAAACAAAGAATAACATAAGAAAACACAGAAAGAGAAAGTGATAGAAGGAAGTGATAAAGAATAACATAAGAGAAGGTGATAGAAGGAAGAAACAAAGAATAACATAAGGAAACACAGAAAGAGAAAGTGATAGAAGGAAGTGATAAAGAATAACATAAGAGAAGGTGATAGAAGGAAAAACAAAGAATAACAAGGAAAGATAGAAAGAGGAAAGTGTTTGCATCGGAGTGCCGCGCATGCGCATTACCAACTGAAACACGCCAAAACATCACTGAGCTTTTCAGTCGGTGATGTTTCCGCACAAGTGTAAACGGCTGCGCGAAACATCGCGACTTTTCAAAATGAGGTATTTGACAGTATAAATGCGCCTAATGATGTCAGTAATCTGAATTGTTTGTGCAGAAAACAAACAACTGCAGATATAGTGTCTACGGAAGGTGGGTGGGGGGGGGGGGAGGTAGGGTTAAAACCAATTTCAAAAGAAATCAATGTGAATGAACAAGTGAGCATCAGATTTTGACACCTTGCATGGATTTTTTTACTTGTTAAATTAGGCAAAAAAATTAAATCAGGCAAAGATTATAACAATACATAAACAATTTTTGTCTTATTTTAGGAGGAAAATAGACTTTTAAAAATGAGGATGGAATTGGCTGCCATGGCAAAGAAGGAATTAATATACTTTACCTTTCTTTTAACAGATTTTCCAGAGCCTTGCACATCTCCCTTCCATCTTTCATCCGTTTGCATAACACCTCAAAGCCATTCGTGCTATTAAACTCTGAATCCTGTAGATTAATACAAATATATCAAAACATATTGCTTAACATCTAAACTTAGTACTATCAGTCCAAAAGTACATGTACTATTGCAATGCTCCAATGTTTGGACGCATCATATTTTTAAACAGATATGTGAGTAATCATTTATATACAACAGGAGACTCCATAAGTATTTAGAGGTTGTGATGATTTAACAATTTTACCTATAAAATAACAAAATTTAATAATTATTTGAGTTAAAATTGTACATTTGATATAAATATCTACAGACATATATTCTGAATTTATTGATGAGACACTTATGATTTCAAGTGTTTTTTTCCCTTTACTCCATCTGCTTCCCTTCCCTCTTCCTCTTAAAGCATGTTTCCGTACCAATTTCTTCCCATATATCTATATATGGATTGTATGTAATCTCCATGATCATAATGTACTTGAAAATTTCATTATGATTTTATTTACCATCTATGTATGTATACATACTGTACACCTGTACATGCATGTACATGTAACTTCCAGTGGGAGGTGAAACGAGAGACTCAAACATCTAAAGTGGTAATAAATCACCATGATAGTTAAAACCACTTAATTGTAAAATGGGCAGATATAATCTAATATCCTACTCTCTGCCTCAAGTCCCTCTCAAAACAATATACCCAGTATGTGCGTAACTGGTTTACAAATGATTATGCAATCACTGCCCCCACATGCCAAACAAACTTGGGTAACTCAGGGGAATTCCCTTAATGTCTCTAAAGGAAGCTTCAAATACATGTAGGCCAACATCTTTTTGAGTACTATGAATGAGGAAACTGCATCAAAAATACAACTGTACAGTACGTGGGCAAAAGCAACCAGATAGACTTAATGGACGACAAGCCTCTAAGCAAATAGAATGATAGCATATCTTAAGCATATCTTTAGAAACAGTACATGCACAATTTGCTTCCCGTTGTAAAAAACTGTTTCAATTTGTAGTTTCAGAGATATAAATTGTGTACATTGACTTAATTAAACACTACTTGTACATGAGGGCCTTCATTTATTTCATTTACATTTCTTCCTTGTTTTCTTATATACAATTCTACCCACAAAAAAGTATTATTGTTGCGATCCCTGACCTACTTTCATTGAATGGATGTCTCGACCATGACCATCAAACAAGTTTTTGAAGAGTGAACTTTTATGACCTCCAATGGCCAAACACCTTGATACAAATACAATACATGTAAGTTATATAGATGTACTGTACTGATGCCGCTCAATCCAATTAGCCTTATCTCATGTTGACATCATTTCATGTAAAAATGTACTTTACAAAATGTATCTGAATGAATCATAGGAGTTTAATAAACTGATACGTGTGGGCCTATATATAGTCTTTATCAAATACAGTACCTAAAGAAAGTATATTGACATGTAGTAGCAGAAGTAGTAGTAGAAGTAGAAGTAGTAGTACTAGTAGCAGTATATATAGAAGTAGAAGTAGAAATAGCATTATATGTAGTACTACTACTACTACTAGTAGTAGTAGTAGTAGTAGTAGTAGTAGTAGAAGTAGTAGTAGTAGTAGTAGTAGTAGTAGTAGTAGTAGTAGTAGTAATAGTAGAAGTAGTAGTAGTAGAAGTAGTAGTAGTAGTAGTAGTAGTAGTAGTAGTAGTAGTAGTAGTAATAGTAGTAGTAGTAGTAGTAGTAGAAGTAGTAGTAGTAGTAGTAGTAGTAGTACTAGTAGTAGTAGTAGTAGTAGTAGTAGTAGTAGTAGTAGTAGTAGTAGTAGTAAAGGTAGTAGTAGTAGTAGTAGTAGTAGTAGTAGTAGTAATAGTAGTAGTAGTAGTAGTAGTAGTAGTAGTAGTAGTAGTAGTAGTGGTAGTGGTAGTAGTAGTAGTAGTAGTAGTAGTAGTAGTAGTAGTAGTAGTAGTAGTAGTAGTAGTAGTAGTAGTAGTAGTAGTAGAAGAAGCAGCATCAGCAGCAGCATTACTGATTTATCTGTGTGCAACTCTATACATATAGAGCTCATAGACATCTTGGGTAAATGATGTACATTTTAAGAATAATAAGTATTATAATTCAAATACACTACTTTTGTGAGTAAGCCTTTTTCTGAAGATTTAGAAGTTCAGAGTCTAACAATATTTCATCTGTTTTGATCGCTGAAGCAATAAAATTAAAAGTGAGACATTGTTTTTACAGGAGCGGACAGAACAAAGGGAAGGAAGCAAAGGAAATTGATGCCTTCTGTTGTCTGCTAAACTTGTCTGAAAATCTCATTGTGTTTGGATCGAAAAGGGAATTAAGAGTTTGAAGTATGAGGTCTCAAGTTTGTAATCTTATTAACACTTTGGTTGTTTTATATCCACCTCTCTGCACATAGTAGACCCCTTTGCCTCACATGCTATTTTGAAAAAAACAATAGGCAAGAATAGATGGAAGGATTGCTTTGTACACACAAAGGGTTTGCTAAATTACCCATTCTTGGTATCGACAATCATTGCAACACCAGTAATGATCAAGATAATGCTGAAAACACTTAAATAACTTGAAATCTTTGGTACACATGTACATCCCATGATATACAGGTAATATGATTTGGCACAGAGAGAGCATTTGTGTGGCATATAAAGAGTTCATAACAAATGTACATTTACTGATACAAGATTAATATTTGTATGTAGTGGTCCGTCATGCCGTAACAATCCTGACGCTCCAACACAGTCACCAAGGTAATAGCCGAGCAGCCGAATTAGTAGGGCTCTAGGATATCGGGTACCCAATTACACCTGGGTGGAGAGTGGCAAACGTGGGTCAATGTCTTGGCAAAGAACGTTAGTGCCAGGCTGGGAATCAAACCCTCAATCCTTGAATTGCGAGTCTAGTATAAAATGAACCACTATACATGACACATTCTTTTCTGTACAGTGAAAAAAAGGGTATACTAACAGGATGGGGTGGGTGTACATTCAGCTTAGCACTAACCTCACTTTCACACTACAAGAATTTCCCTGTATAGCCATACCATACTTATTTTTTTCTCTAGTCTGATTGTCTGAACATTATTATATTAAAGAAACATAGTATAACAAAAACAATGTAAAGTAAAACACCTGTTTAAGCATCATTTCAAAGTAACAATTGCTAAAGAATCAGCAAAGAATTGCACAAAATCGTTTAACTGGGCGGGGATTATCAAGAGCGCACACTGATGATTTGGTCTGCTGCAACATCAAATGACCTCCTCAAAACTAGTTTCTTTTATATATACGATGGTTTTTTCTAGTCAATCCTTTCGCTATATACAGTGTATATGATGATTATTTAAACGATTTATCTTTATGTATGCATTTCATATAAAATTATGTCATAGATTCAGAACAGGCTATGAGTAGGATGTGTTGATAGACAGGAAATTAGGGTCTGCTAGTTCAATTTAAGAGCAATCATTGTTTCAATACAGCTTACATAATAAATTGAGTAATTACAGGTGTACAGGTAAAGGTACATATAAAACTGTTTAGTTTAACATTTGATGTCATTTGGTCCAGTTTAGGTAAATGGCACATTTTCTCTGACATATCATCTCTTGAGTGCCAGAAGGGAATAAGCTCTGTTTTAAATGATATGACTTCATGCCCTTCTGGCTCAGATAATGTATACCGTTAACTGGAAAGCGATGTTTCTCCACATTAATTCTTGGTCAAGTTTGGCAGATACATGAAAATTCAATTCATGAACTGTACACAAATTATCTCTCCTTTTTTTTTTTTGGGGGGGGGGAGCTGATGGTTGGAAAAAAAATTCCTTAGAGTACATTTTGAGTTACTGCTGTTACTGCATAGCAATCATTGATAAAGAGAACCATATGGAATATGTATATTCCTACTTGAAGTGAAGTTGAGTCATAATTCATGATCATCTACTAACAATGTGTTGACGTTTAAATCAAACTAAGAGGTTTACTTTTGACACAAAAGTTATTTCCATATTATACATGTGCAGTGCATATAAAAAAAGTTCTTATGTGTTCATGTGTAAATGTAGACCTACCAGCTTAAGGTCTAAATTGCAGAACTTATGACTTACATTTATGAGGTATATACTGTTTATTATGGGCGGCTAAGAGGGCCAGAATAAATAACGGAAAACAAACAAATTAATGACAGAAATAAACAAAGATTCAGAAATAGACATGAAGATAATGCAAAAATAAAGACAACATCACAATTTAAGCCTCACTACAAAAATAAAACAACTATTGAAACAAATATAACTCAGGAATAAAGACAACCACAGAATTAAAGATGAATGCGGAGATAAAGACTAACCACAGAAATAAAGACAACCACAGAAATAAATATAACTCAGGAATAAAGACAACCACAGAATTAAAGATACTAAATGCAGAAATAAAGACAAATTACAGAAATAAAGACAACCACAGAAATAAAGATAACCACAGAAATAAAGACAACCACAGAAATAAAGACAACCACAGAAATAAAGACAACCACAGAAATAAAGACAACCACAGAAATAAAGACAACCACAGAAATAAAGACAACCACAGAAATAAAGACAACCACAGAAATAAAGACAACCACAGAAATAAAGACAACCACAGAAATAAAGACAACCACAGAAATAAAGACAACCACAGAAATAAAGACAACCACAGAAATAAAGACAACCACAGAAATAAAGATAACCAAAGAATTAAAGACAACTGCAGAAATAAGGACGACCACGGAATTGAAGAAAGCTTCGGAGACAAAGACAACCACAGAACGGAAGTTTAGAAAGGTAGGCCTATATAACGACTGAAATTAAGTCTACTATAAAAACGATATGCCCGCTCCGAAAATTAAACTATCAAGTAGAAATATACGATCAAAAACGCAAACAAACTGACAATAAGAGGACAAGAGAGGGTGTCCTAACGCAAAAATTAACGGAGCGCGCGCACATGCACACGACTAGATAGCTGTACGCAGACTATGCCTCTAATCTATCCA